TGAGTGAAAATATAAAAGTCCGTTTTCTGGCTAAACTAGAGGCGCTAGGGCAAAAAGAAAGAAAATCTGTGATCACTTGAATTTCCCATCACGAACTGATTTTTTGAGTGAAAATATAAAAGTCCGTTTTCTGGCTAAACTAGAAGCGCTAGGGCAAAAAGAAAGAAAATCTGTGATCACTTTAATTTTTCACCAAAAACCGATTTTTTGATCACTTTAATTTCTCACCAAAAACTGATTTTTTGAGTGAAAATACAAAAGTCCGTTTTCTGGCTAAACTAGAGGCGCTAGGGCAAAAAGAAAGAAAATCTGTGATCACTTTAATTTCCCACCAAAAAACGATTTTTTGAGTGAGAACATATAAGTCCGTTTTCTGGCTAAACTAGAGGCGCTAGGGCCAAAAGAAAGAAAATCTGTGATCACTTGAATTTCCCATCAAAAACCGATTTTTTGAGTGAAAACATAAAAGTCCATTTTCTGGCTTAACTAGAGGCGCTAGGGCAAAAAGAAAGAAAATCTGTGATCACTTTAATTTCTCACCAAAAAGAAAGAAAATCTGTGATCACTTTAATTTCTCACCAAAAACTGATTTTTTGAGTGAAAATATAAAAGTCCGTTTTCTGGCTAAACTAGAAGCGCTAGGGTAAAAAGAAAGAAAATCTGTGATCACTTGAATTTCCCATCAAAAACCGATTTTTTGAGTGAAAATATAAAAGTCCGTTTTCTGGCTAAACTAGAAGCGCTAGGGCAAAAAGAAAGAAAATCTGTGATCACTTGAATTTCCCATCAAAAACTGATTTTTTGAGTGAAAATATAAAATTCCGTTTTCTGGCTAAACTAGAGGCGCTAGGTAAAAAAGAAAGAAAATCTGTGATCACTTGAATTTCCCATCAAAAACCGATTTTTTGAGTGAAAACATAAAAGTCCATTTTCTGGCTTAACTAGAGGCGGTAGGGCCAAAAGAAAGAAAATCTGTGATCACTTTAATTTCTCACCAAAAACCGATTTTTTGAGTGAAAATATAAAAGTCCGTTTTCTGGCTAAACTAAAGGCGCTAGGGCAAAAAGAAAGAAAATCTGTGATCACCTTAATTTCCCATCAAAAACCGATTTTTTGAGTGAAAATATAAAAGTCCGTTTTCTGGCTAAACTAGAGGCGCTAGGGCCAAAAGAAAGAAAATCTGTGATCACTTGAATTTCCCATCAAAAACCGATTTTTTGAGTGAAAACATAAAAGTCCATTTTCTGGCTTAACTAGAGGCGCTAGGGCAAAAAGAAAGAAAATCTGTGATCACTTTAATTTCTCACCAAAAACTGATTTTTTGAGTGAAAATATAAAAGTCCGTTTTCTGGCTAAACTAGAGGCGCTAGGTCAAAAAGAAGGAAAATCTGTGATCACTTTAATTTCTCACCAAAAACCGATTTTTTGAGTGAAAACATAAAAGTCCGCTTTCTGGCTAAACTAGAGGCGCTAGGGCAAAAAGAAAGAAAATCTGTGATCACTTGAATTTCCCATCAAAAACCGATTTTTTGAGTGAAAATATAAAAGCCCGTTTTCTGGCTAAACTAGAGGCGCTAGGTCAAAAAGAAAGAAAATCTGTGATCACTTTAATTTCTCAGCAAAAACCGATTTTTTGATCACTTTAATTTCTCACCAAAAACTGATTTTTTGAGTGAAAATACAAAAGTCCGTTTTCTGGCTAAACTAGAGGCGCTAGGGCAAAAAGAAAGAAAATCTGTGATCACTTTAATTTCCCACCAAAAAACGATTTTTTGAGTGAGAACATATAAGTCCGTTTTCTGGCTAAACTAGAGGCGCTAGGGCCAAAAAAAAAGAAAATCTGTGATCACTTGAATTTCCCATCAAAAAACGATTTTTTGAGTGAAAACATAAAAGTCCATTTTCTGGCTTAACTAGAGGCGCTAGGGCAAAAAGAAAGAAAATCTGTGATCACTTTAATTTTTCACCAAAAACCGATTTTTTGATCACTTTAATTTCTCACCAAAAACTGATTTTTTGAGTGAAAATACAAAAGTCCATTTTCTGGCTAAACTAGAGGCGCTAGGGCAAAAAGAAAGAAAATCTGTGATTACTTTAATTTCCCACCAAAAAACGATTTTTTGAGTGAGAACATATAAGTCCGTTTTCTGGCTAAACTAGAGGCGCTAGGGCCAAAAGAAAGAAAATCTGTGATCACTTGAATTTCCCATCAAAAACCGATTTTTTGAGTGATAACATAAAAGTCCATTTTCTGGCTTAACTGGAGGCGCTAGGGCAAAAAGAAAGAAAATCTGTGATCACTTTAATTTCTCACCAAAAACCGATTTTTTGATCACTTGAATTTCCCATCAAAAACCGATTTTTTGAGTGATAACATAAAAGTCCATTTTCTGGCTTAACTGGAGGCGCTAGGGCAAAAAGAAAGAAAATCTGTGATCACTTTAATTTCTCACCAAAAACCGATTTTTTGATCACTTGAATTTCCCATCAAAAACCGATTTTTTGAGTGATAACATAAAAGTCCATTTTCTGGCTTAACTGGAGGCGTTAGGGCAAAAAGAAAGAAAATCTGTGATCACTTGAATTTCACATCAAAAACCGATTTTTTGGCTTAACTGGAGGCGCTAGGTCAAAAAGAAAGAAAATCTGTGATCACTTGAATTTCCCATCAAAAAACGATTTTTTGAGTGAAAACATAAAAGTCCGTTTTCTGGCTAAACTAGAGGCGCTAGGTCAAAAAGAAAGAAAATCTGTGATCACTTGAATTTCCCATCAAAAACCGATTTTTTGAGTGAAAACATAAAAGTCCGTTTTCTGGCCTAAACTAGAGGCGCTAGGGTCAAAAGAAAGAAAATCTGTGATCACTTGAATTCCCCATCAAAAACCGATTTTTTAGTGAAACATAAAAGTCCATTGCTACTAACTAACTAACTAACTAACTAACTAACTAACTAACTAACTAACTAACTAAACTAACTAACTAACTAACTAACTAACTAACTAACTAACTAACTAACTAACTACTAACTAACTAACTAACTAACTAACTAAACTAACTAACTAACTAACTAACAATAACTAACTAACTACACTAAACTAACTAAATAACTAACTACTAACTAACTAACTAACTAACGAACCTAACTAACTACTAACTACTAACTAACTAACTACTAACTAACTAACTAACTAACTAACTAACTAACTAACTAACTAACTAACTAACTACTAACTACTAACTAACTAACTAACTACTAACTAACTAACTAACTAACTAACTAACTAACTAACTACTAACTAACTACTAACTAACTAACTAACTAACTAACTACTAACTAACTAACTAACTAACTACTAACTAACTACTACTAACTAACTAACTAACTACTACTAACTAACTAACTAACTAACTACTAACTACTAACTAACTAACTAACTAACTAACTAACTAACTACTAACTAACTAACTAACTAACTACTAACTAACTAACTAACTATAACTAACTAACTAACTAACTAACTAACTAACTAACTAACTAACTAACTAACTAACTAACTAACTAACTAACTAACTAACTACTAACTAACTAACTAACTACTAACTAACTAACTAACTAACTAACTAACTAACTAACTAACAACTAACTAACTAACTAACTAACTAACTAACTAACTAACTAACTAACTAACTACTAACTAACTAACTACTAACTAACTAACTAACTAACTAACTAACTAACTAACTAACTAACTACTAACTAACTAACTAACTAACTAACTAACTAACTAACTAACTAACTACTAACTAACTAACTAACTAACTACTAACTAACTTAACGAACTAACTAACTAACTAACTAACTAACTAACTAACTAACTAACTAACTAACTAACTACTAACTACTAACTAACTAACTAACTAACTAACTAACTAACTAACTACTAACTAACTAACTAACTAACTAACTAACTAACTAACTAACTAACTAACTAACTAACTAACTAACTAACTACTAACTAACTAACTAACTAACTAACTACTAACTAACTAACTAACTAACTAACTCCTAACTAACTAACTACTAACTACTAACTAACTACTAACTAACTAACTACCTAACTAACTAACTACTAACTAACTAACTAACTAACTAACTAACTAACTACTAACTAACTAACTAACTAACCACTAACTAACTAACTAACTAACTAACTAACTAACTAACTAACTAACTAACTAACTAACTACTAACTAACTAACTAACTAACTAACTAACTAACTAACTAACTAACTAACTAAACTAACTAACTAACTAACTAACTAACTAACTAACTACTAACCTAACTAACTAACTAACGAACTAACTAACTAACTAACTAACTAACTAACTAACTAACTAACTAACTAACTAACTAACTAACTAACAACTAACTAACTACCTAACTAACTAACTAACTAAACTAACTAACTAACTACTAACTAACTAACTAACTAACTAACTAACTACTACTAACTAACTAACTAACTACTAACTAACTAACTAACTAACTAACTAACTAACTAACTACTACTAACTACTAACTAACTAACTAACTAACTACTAACTAACTACTAACTAACTAACTAACTAACTAACTAACTAACTAACTAACTAACTAACTAACTAACTAACTAACTAACTACTAACTAACTAACTAACTAACTAACTAACGAACTAACTAACTAACTAACTAACTAACTAACTAACTAACTAACTAACTAACTAACTAACTAACTAACTAACTAACTAACTAACTAACTAACTAACTAACTAACTAACTAACTAACTAACTAACTAACTAACTAACTAACTAACTGTTCTGGAGGCATTTCGTTTAAAAGTTAATCTTTTCACATAAAACTATTAACATCGACACAACAACCTTGCATTCTATAATTTATATGAACAAAAAAAGTTTAATAAAATTTCTAAAATTACTTCTATTTTATATCTTTGTAGATTTATCATCAATGATGCATCAGCCACGTTATAGTCCAGCTCAAACTTTACCTCAAGTACCTCCACATGGAGGTATGAGGCCACCGTTACAACAACCAACACGTCCTCCAACATTTGCCAATGTAAGTAAAAATTTCATGAAATTTCAAATAATTTTCTTATATATAATTTGATGAGGGTATTACGTAATTTGAGTAATTTAATAATTTAAATTGTTAATTAATTTTTTACTAATTACGATTAAAAAGATCTCAGTTAACAACGAAGTTTTGATCGCATATTGCGAGTGATTTCAAATCTAAGTCATTTCAATATTTTCATATACCGATGAAATTTGACTTCATATGAGAGCAGATACAATTAAACATTTAGGGACATCAAAGTCTGCTTAGATACACTATTATAGTAAAACTTTATAATCTCCTTGAATAGCTGGTTATCGTTATTATTTAAATTAGTGCTAAGGTAAAATTTTATATATGAAAAAATCCTTTGATTCTCCAACAATTTCTATAGATCTTGTCCATAATTGACTCAAACCATTCTTAAAACTGGTACTAATATCAATATTGGGTAAAATTTAGTTCAGTTCTGGTTCAGTTTCAGTTAATATAGTTCTAGTTCCTAAATTTGGCTGTATTTTAGTACTTATGTATTCCCCTTCATCGCTAAATGCAACAGTCCGCTTTGACTTGTAATCTGTGAATACCCCTAAATAAAACCTCACACTAAAGAAAAAAAGTATACAAATTGCAAAAGTGGGTGCTGTATGAATGAGTAAGTACACGATATCGAATGAGTGAATGCAAAAGTGTGTACCAGTGAGTTCCTTCGTATTCTGTCTTTCCGTACCACCGTTTGTCAGTCTGGCGGTGGAAGTTTTAATTATGTTTTTAAATTATTATTAATTGTAGATATTGTTCCATTTATTATTAAGAATAAATATGTATCTGTATACGAACAAGCGAGAGTTGAGTAAACAAATTACTAGTTACTTGTATATTATAGAAGTAGGTACATGCAAACATACATATGTATGTATGTATAAAAATTGAGTTTTGTATTTATATGCCTATGACTGTATCTATGTGGGCAGACCCTTTTATTCCTGACTTCTCCCACACCAACACACTAGCGAAAAAAATACAAGAAAAAGTAGAAAAATTCAATTGAGAGCAAAAATAAAAGGAAGAACTTAATAATAGCATAGAATTCATAAGAAAGGAAGTAGGTACTTTTAATATGAAATTTTAAATTGTATGTCTGTGTAGTGCCGTTGTAATAATTTTATATGATTTTCAAGAAAAAGAAGTGAAATAAATTAAAAAATACTTAAGGAAATTGTAATCGATAAAGATGATTTTTACGATGTTGTCTAACTTATGGAATATACAGTGAACCGTGTTATTGTGTTCTTTAGTATGAAATTTTTTAATTACAAGAGGTGATATTTATGAAATATCAAAGCATCAATAATTTATTTTTGGTCTACTTTACTTCAGTTCTAGTTCAGTTCTAGTTCAGTTCTAGTTCAGTTCTAGTTCAGTTCTAGTTCAGTTCTAGTTCAGTTCTAGTTCAGTTCTAGTTCAGTTCTAGTTCAGTTCTAGTTCAGTTCAGTTCTAGTTCAGTTCTAGTTCAGTTCTAGTTCAGTTCTAGTTCAGTTTCTAGTTCAGTTCTAGTTCAGTTCTAGTTCAGTTCTAGTTCAGTTCTAGTTCAGTTCTAGTTCAGTTCTAGTTCAGTTCTAGTTCAGTTCTAGTTCAGTTCTAGTTCAGTTCAGTTCTAGTTCAGTTCTAGTTCAGTTCTAGTTCAGTGTCTAGTTCAGTTCTAGTTCAGTTCTAGTTCAGTTCTAGTTCAGTTAGTAGTTCAGTTCTAGTTCAGGTTCTAGTTCAGTTCTAGTTCAGTTCTAGTTCAGTTCTAGTTTCAGTTTCTAGTTCAGTTCTAGTTCCGTTCTGTTCAGTTCTAGTTCGTTCTAGTTCAGTCTAGTTCAGTTTCTAGTTCGTTCTAGTTCAGTTATAGTTCAGTTCTAGTTCAGTTCTAGTTTCAGGTTCTAGTTCGTTCTAGTTCAGTTCTAGTTAAGTTTCTAGTTCAGTTCTAGTTAAGTTCTCAGTTCTAGTTCTAGTTCAGTTCTAGTCAGTTCTAGTTCAGTTCTAGTTTCAGTTTCTAGTTCAGTTCTAGTCAGTTCTAGTTCAGTTCTAGTTCAGTTCTAGTTCAGTTCTAGTTCAGTTCTAGTTCAGTTCTAGTTCAGTTCTAGTTCAGTTCTAGTTCAGTTCTAGTTCAGTTCTAGTTCAGTTCTAGTTCAGTTCTAGTTCAGTTCTAGTTCAGTTCTAGTTCAGTTCTAGTTCAGTTCTAGTTCAGTTCTAGTTCAGTTCTAGTTCAGTTCTAGTTCAGTTCTAGTTCAGTTCTAGTTCAGTTCTAGTTCAGTTCTAGTTCAGTTCTAGTTCAGTTCTAGTTCAGTTCTAGTTCAGTTCTCGTTCAGTTCTAGTTCAGTTCTAGTTCAGTTCTAGTTCAGTTCTGGTTCAGTTCTAGTTCAGTTTTGGTTCAGTTCTAGTTCAGTTCTAGTTTAGTTTTAGTTCAGTTCTAGTTCAGTTCTAGTTCAGTTCTAGTTAGTTCTAGTTCAGTTCTAGTTCAGTTCTAGTTCAGTTCTAGTTCAGTTCTAGTTCAGTTCTAGTTCAGTTCTAGTTCAGTTCTAGTTCAGTTCTAGTTCAGTTCTAGTTCAGTTCTAGTTCATTCTAGTTCAGTTCTAGTTCAGTTCTAGTTCAGTTCTAGTTCAGTTCTAGTTCAGTTCTAGTTCAGTTCTAGTTCAGTCTAGTTCAGTTCTAGTTCAGTTCTAGTTCAGTTCTAGTTCAGTTCTAGTTCAGTTCTAGTTCAGTTCTAGTTCAGTTCTAGTTCAGTTCTAGTTCAGTTCTAGTTCAGTTCTAGTTCAGTTCTAGTTCAGTTCTAGTTCAGTTCTAGTTCAGTTCTAGTTCAGTTCTCGTTCAGTTCTAGTTCAGTTCTAGTTCAGTTCTAGTTCAGTTCTGTTCAGTTCTAGTTCAGTTTTGGTTCAGTTCTAGTTCAGTTCTAGTTTAGTTTTAGTTCAGTTCTAGTTCAGTTCTAGTTCAGTTCTAGTTCAGTTCTAGTTCAGTTCTAGTTCAGTTCTAGTTCAGTTCTAGTTCAGTTCTAGTTCAGTTCTAGTTCAGTTCTAGTTCAGTTCTAGTTCAGTTCTAGTTCAGTTCTAGTTCAGTTCTAGTTCAGTTCTATTTCAGTTCTAGTTCAGTTCTAGTTCAGTTCTAGTTCAGTTCTAGTTCAGTTCTAGTTCAGTTCTAGTTCAGTTCTAGTTCAGTTGTAGTTCAGTTCTAGTTCAGTTCTAGTTCAGTTCTAGTTCAGTTCTAGTTCAGTTCTAGTTCAGTTCTAGTTCAGTTCTAGTTCAGTTCTAGTTCAGTTCTAGTTTCAGTTCTAGTTCAGTTCTAGTTCAGTTCTAGTTCAGTTCTAGTTCAGTTCTAGTTCAGTTCTAGTTCAATGTCTAAGTCTAAAACCTAAACTTCTAAAACAAGCATTTTTCTCACATAACTAATTGTGCTTAAAAAAGTTTCTTAAATTTATTTCAAATAATTTACGGTTACTTTATTGTTAATAATTATTAAAATCCATATACAAGTCGTATAGATAAACCTTAATAAACATATCACGTCTCAATGTCTACATGTAACATGGACTTTGTTCGTATGGCCAGAATGTCGTCAATTTGACTTTATTAGACCATATCTTTATACATACATAAATAATCATAAACATTTATTTGAAAGTTGTTCTTCGGTTTGATTTTATTTTATATACTCTCCATTATCCTTAAGATTTTTGTTTGTTTGACTTTGCCTATTCCAGAAGATTTATGATATTTTCATAACTTTGTCTTTGTATTACTGTGTATATGTTTAATATCGACTAATTTTTGGGGAGCCTATTCAAATAATAATGTATATTTTGCGTATTCAGTTAGGATAGTGGGCGGCAAGATGGGCTATTAATTCACACACTTTCAAAAAAGACACATACATATCTGCTTAAAATACATTGATTGTATGTTCTATTCTCTGCTTTTGTTTCCTTTTGTCATTTTGGCTTTGATTAGAGTGCTGTATACATGTAAATAGCTAATGGGTTTCGGCATCTGGTGCTAATAATTGCCGATCATTGCTATAGCAAAATTTGCTTTATTTAATAGTTGTGTCTGTGATTTTCTTAGTTGTAAGTATTATTGCAATTTGGTGTTTGTCCTCAAACCATATTCTCTAAGCTGAAAGTATTAAATATTAAGCAACATTAGGGTAGCACTAATTTAGTATGAGACAAGTTGACACTAATTAGCATAATACTTAGCTTTATAAAATATAAAAGTTTTTGTTCTCAATTTATAATACAAAATATATTTATAAATTTCTTGGTTCAAATTTATGTGCCATACTAATAAACACACATAACCTCACTTTTAAGGCCATATCGAATCTTTTAATAATGTGTTACGCATTTTAATGAGTGGATCAGCCCCAACAACAGAGTTAAGAAAACCAAAATATCTCAACTATTTTAAGTGAATTCATATGAAAAATTTACCTGCATCTCAAGTACACAACAAAAACAAACATTAAAAGTCAGCAAAATCTTTATAAAAGCTTATTTTTTCTTACTTTCTTTTTACTCATTAATTTTGGAAAAAATACGTTGCATGTGTGTAAAAGATCATTAAGATTTTCTTCTTAGAAAAACATTGTGAAAATAAGTCAACTATACCGAAGTAATTTAGATAAAATTTTGCTGAGAGATAAAAGTTTAAAAATAGCACAGAATGGACTATAATAGGATTAAAGGCGGCCTGTGGCAAAGAGTAAAAATAAGGACTACTTTTCATTTGAAATTACACTGGGTTAAGGCTTAGAAAATGTTCTTAAAAATTCTTATTCAGTTCTAGTTCAGTTCTATTTCAGTTCTAGTTCAGTTCTAGTTCAGTTCTAGTTCAGTTCTAGTTCAGTTCTAGTTCAGTTCTAGTTCAGTTCAGTTCAGTTCTAGTTCAGTTCTAGTTCAGTTCTAGTTCAGTTCTAGTTCAGTTCTATTTCAGTTCTAGTTCAGTTCTAGTTCAGTTCTAGTTCAGTAG